CATTCTTTCATTCATTTCGCGTGCATAGCTAGAGTTTTTATTTTCTCAAATATTAAAGGAATTTTAAAGTTATTTTCATTTGAAATTTAATTTTATTAATTTTAGTTTCATTAAAAATTTTAAAATGTTAAATCATGAACTACATTAATTCACAATTATTCACTTTTTTAAATTGAGAAAAATAACTCATATTAATTTACTGTTAAACGTATATTTTAGTTCACCTTTTATTCACAACCATTATATTTTTAAGTATGCATTTATTAGTGCAATTCAGTTGCATTTTAATTAGTGAATTTCAGTTGCTTAAAAGTAATAATATTGATATATTTAACTGCCGAGTTACCCATGGTTGTCCGACACTGTAGATTTGTTCGATCTGACATGCTTATGAATAGATAATTATTGTTAGATGACAATCAAATAAACTAGCCATCGTTTTTAAAAAAATTTAGTAAGACACAAGCAAAATTAGATTAACATCTTCTTTGATCATCTATAAAAGTTTTAGTTTATCAGATCCACGTTGCAGTGAGCATTTAATGAAGCATATTGACTTTCTGATTAAATCAATGATGAATACTAATTCACAAGTTAAACAACAAAAGTCAGCGTTATATTTACAAAATTTTCACAGGACTAGTTTCGATGGTTTTACCGAACCACCATCCTCAGCTGCAAACCGCAATTGAACAAGATAGGAAATAATGATTAGATAAGATAAGAAAGCCTGGACAAGAATAAGCAAGTGGCGCCATTGTGTTTTAATCAATGATGAATATTACGTTATAAATGTAGCGAGCATTGCATAACATAGTTGCAGGTCAAGTAGCTATAAGCGAAATTCCGATAATTCGTCTTTCATTTTCCAGAAACTAAACAACTGGATTATTACTGGAAACAACTGCAATTTTTTAAAAAAAGATATAATATATAATATATATATATATATATATATAATATATATATATATATTAATATATATATAATATATATATATATATATATAATTATACAGCATACTTATGAGTTTCTAACAATCTTCAAAATCGACTGAGGTGGATTTCAGATTTTGGTGGAGAATTTTTCGATTTTCTTTTTTTAAATTTATCGTGCATTTGTTACCACTCATGGATTCTTAAATCTTAGGATGTAATTCTTCATTGTTAGCAACTTCAAAGGACAATGAGATCAGATTTTTAAACCAAACAGGAGTTCAAATGAATCAATCTAAATTTTCATCATTAAGTGAATTTGAAACGCCTTTAAATATCTTCGTATGTATTCATTTACTTCGTTATTGCGCTGGTTAGAAAAAAAAATAATTTTCTTATATTTAGAGTAGGTAATCTTTTTCTCTTATTGCTTTGCCGCTTTCTATAGACTAAAAGATATATATTAAAATATATTAATTTTTTAAAAGTTCATGGTTTTAGTGCACATGTGAAAAAGTTGTTTTGGTATAGTAACGAAATTTAAGGAACTATAGAAGTAATAGGATAGAAATGACATACTTAAGAATGATTATGTTTAACACTTAAGTGTCTGTTTAAGAACATTAATTTAAAATTCGCCTTCGGTAGCGGCCCCAGATTTCATTTGTTGTTCCATACGAGCTAAAATATAAATAGCTAAAAAATTGTTTCACTTTTTAATCGCCTAAATAAAATTTTTCTCGGAGTTTGCTGAATATTTGATTTAAAAAAATACTACAATGCGCTCTAGGGCAGTGTGCCATTATGTAACATATAGAAAAAAGAAAGAAAGGGAGGTAAAATAATAATCCAGTTGTTTAGTTTCTGGAAAATGAAAGTCGGACAAATTATCGGAATTTCGCTTATAGCTACTTGACCTGCAACTACGTTATGCAATGCTTGCTACATTTATAACATAATGTTCATCATTGATTTAATCAGAAAGTTGATATGCTTCATTAAATGCACATTGCAACGTAGATCTAATAAACTAAAAGTACTTTTATAGAAGATCAAAGAAGATGTTAATCTAATTTTCCTTGTATCTTACTAAAATTTTTCCCCAAATCTTGTCACGAATAGTAGTTTCGACATTATCCAAAACTTACCCATGACTGAGAAAAGTTTTTTGGTTTGTGTCATCCAGAACATTCAAGATGTTGTTCTAATGTTATTGCATTGCCAAAGTAAACATGAACTTATAATATGTAAGTGAGTATGAAATTAAAATTCGGTCAATAACAAAATTTCGTGCTGACATTCCACATTCGTCATAGATATGGGTTGTAATTTCTGTTGCCTTAAAAGAAAAGAAAGGAAAAAAAAAAAAAAAAAAAAACTTCTAAAATTGCATTTAAAATTCACTGAATATATCGGAAAAGGTGTAGCAGTTTCATGCATATAAATTAAGAAATACGAAATAGTGAACTAACTTTAAAAAACAACCGAATTCCTTGATTCAGACGGTATGTAGAATTGTGGTTGTTGTCACTGACCTTACCAACTGCGTTAGGTATGCAATCGATTTTGATTTCTATTTGGTTATAAGTGTCGAAATTTCTGACCCAGAAAATGAGTTGTTACATTTGGAATTAAAATTATCAACACACGAGACTGTTAAAGTATTTGAATTAAATTTCGGTTTCAGTGCATCATTCATCTTCATATAAATAAATTCTTTTAAATACTTTGAAAACACCTTTTTTATTTCAATTTACAGACGGAATAAATTATGCAATGTACAAATACGTGCGTCATTATTTGCATTGATGTTTCAATATTGTTAAAATGCTTATATTTTCATTTCATATCAGAAACCACTTAAAAAGTCATTTAAAAACCTAAAGAATTCATTAAAACCCTGATTTAACGTAATGAAGGGCTGCACTCTGAATTGTCAATTTATTATTTTAGGTAATTGTTTTTGATAAATTACATTATAACCAATGAATAAGCAAATAATTGATTTTCAAATGGTACGTACGTTGAAGCCTATGTATAAAGTAATTCATATCATGTAAGAAAGACATCTATCTAAACACGACAGAATATCCAGGAGATAATCATTTAACCGCAGATGAAGCGGATTACTTCAACGTCTGCAATTTTTAATTTTGTGTCAAACAATTGTTTTGTGGTTGTTCAGTGCTGTTTTAATTACCGATACTGTGCTTTTGTATACATGCCTAGCGAATGAATTTGTGAAAGTTCATCTTCGATGTTCCTGCATTCTTTGCTTACATTTCAGCGTTTGGTCAGCATCAAGGTGATCAGCTTGCTTTCCTGTTTGTATTTTTGTTTTAATTTCTCAACGCTTTGAAGTGTTTAATTCAATAAACATACATAAATAGAAGCATGTATTCAGAGTTAGTCAAGTAAATAAACATCCACTTCAGACAATTCAGACTCTTTTGATTTACCTTTAAAATTTAAAGAGATCTTTCTCTGCCCTAAATTTGAAAGAACAGCCATTTAAAAAATGTTTCTCTCATGTCTGCTTTCAGACTCGTATTGGAAGTTCCATGGGAAGAAATTTATGCTGGATACTGCTTTACTTTTTTTTTTTTTTTTGTAATAAAAAGACGAGTAGTTTGCTGGAAGAAAAGAGAAACAAGATGGCTGAGGTGCAAACTTACTTTTTCTTAAATTTTTATATTGGTTAAAATTAAATAAGTTTTATAGACTGTGGATGAAAATGATGTATTATCGATAAAGAGGTAAAGCTAGAAATTAAAATTCTAAAATTTTTAAAAATTTTATATATATTTCAAAATTTAATAAAACCACGCAATGTGCTATTAATTGCTACGAAATCGAAGTTTAGATGCGTCAAGTTAGTTAATGAAAATCTCGATTTTCTACCAACACAGTTCATTTTCATGAAGTTAATCAATGGAAATAACGATAAACCGTATGAAATAAAACTTGTTTCTTCATTTTGAAGTAAAGAAAGTGTTCAAATAATAAAGTTCTCTGGGAAAAGAAAAAATTGAGAGAAAAACTTTCTTGCTGGAAAATTTAAATACTTACATTTTGGTTTTTAAAGAAAAAATAAAATGTAAAAATAAGGTCCCTCGCACAGAAACTGATACTTTGAACCTTTATTCGTAAATTATTTTTATGTTATGCATTTAACTTATTTAAGGTAATATTTATCAGTGCAGTATAATTTACAAAAAATGAAATCTCATTTCATTAATATAGGATTTTTATAAATTATTCTTTCTTTTCGGGCTCTTTCTCTCATTTGAATTTAAGCATGATTCAGTTTTCAGCAAAAACCCATCGGTAGTCCTATGTGACTGAACGTCAAAAATTTTCAGTGACATAATAAAAACAATCAAGGTAACAATTATCAAAATTTTACTTAACGAATGCGAACATCACAGCTCCACCGACAGATTTTTAATATTAAAAGCAAAATTTTCGAAATTGCTGTGGTTAAAGCATTTTTTTTTAAATTCCTCCACACTAATAGTTAATACACCGCATATTTATTTCATGTCCTTTCTCGGCTTTTACCTAAGATGCCTTACTAATTAATTGGGCTGTCTCTCGCCTGTATAGGATTTTATTTCCTCCATGTAGGTAGCAACATCACCAATTTTCCCTTAGAAACTTCTTCATGGACAGTGTATTACGGAAGGCAAACCATTGGGTGCTTTGCACTAAGAAAAGTCTGTTTAATTTGCTTCATGATGACAGGAAATTTGAAAGTTCATTTGGGAAACACATTTGACTTATGTTCGTAGATAAAGTCCAAATCTTCATCCTGTGATTTTAAACGTGCGTAACTTTTTTTTTCCCCTGCAATATGTGTGTGTGTGAAGAATGGCACGTCTAGATTTTCATATTCCTCCTGACCCACTTGCCGGCTAATGAGGCAAGATTGGCGGTCGATTTGGCGAGAAAAGAGTCTAGTCTTTATCTGCGAAGAAGCTCTCGGCAACCCTTCCTTCGAAAACCCACGTGCTTCTCGCACTCTGTCAGGAGAGTCCGGGAGCAAGAAAACAAACAAAGAAGAGAAAAGGAACAAAACAATGAAAACGAGACTGCGAAAAGGAGGGGGCAGGAAAAAAAGCGAAACCACTTTGCTCTTCTCCTCCCACTTCTCCTTCCCCCTTAACCGTGTTTTAGTGAATGGGTATTTATACCGGCGCGTGCGATCGCCCGCTCCTCATTCAAAAAGTCATCCTCATCCGCTGCATGCGCGTTTTCCGATTTTTCCCTGAGCGCGAGGACTTCTGGGCTGATTAAAGGGGAAAAGAAAGAAAAACAAAAAAAGTCGGCGGCGAATCAACAAGTGGCAGTGAAGTGACCTCGCCCGGTTCGGGCAACCATGCCTCTCTTTGCGGTAGTTTCGCTGTGCCGGCCGAGCGTCAGACCGAGTCAAGTTCGATGCGGAGTCGGTCGGACCACGACGAGCGGTCGACGCTGAGACGTCGCGGCTATTTTTTTCCGCTCGTGGTATTTGGCAAGGGGCGATTTTCCAGACATATACGAGATGATACCCCAGTGATATTTGGATATCTATTCTACTTATTGCCCATCGTCGCGATTTATTTTTTCATCCGTGAAAAAAACTAATGCATTTTATCGCTGATGCCCCATCGCAGCGCGCTCTCGAGTTTCGTCTCATCGGCCAAGCCTTGTCGTTTTCCTTTGTTACAGAGCTCGCCCCTTCCTGTCAGAGGACTCGCCAACACACCATCTTCCTCCGGTTGCTCCTGCTGTTCCTGGCCATGTGTCCGGCGTCTGCCCGGCCTTTGCCCACAACCACACGCAAGCCACGCTGGATCAACCCCTGCGATCTACAGGGACAGGTGTACGATCCGGAGACGGACGTGAAAGGCGAACACGACATGGCGCAGATATATTCCTTCGTCAAGGAGAGCGCGCGCATAGCGAAGCAGCACGCATCGAACGTCAAGGAAAATTTCGTAAGTACATCTCTTTCTTTTCATCTGCCGTTTACGGTGTGTGAATCATTCGACCCCTTTCCCCCCCATGGAGACTTGGTTCGATATCTACGATCAAACCGATCGCTCTCTACCTATTTTTTTGTCTAGCAATGAATCAATTATTTCTAAAAATAAATAAATAAATAAATAAATGAAAATTTATTTCAAGAACTTAAATAGCTGTAGGATCTCCAAAGATATACATTTTAATCTACGCATCACTACATTGATCCTAAGCTGTAGGATCTCCAAAGTTACATATTTTAACATATGATCCTAACAGCTTACAGATCCTAACAGCTTACAGATAGTAAGCTGTAGGCTGTTAGGATCGACAGTGAGTATATTAATAATACTCATAAAGTGTTATTAATACAGACCATCTAATATCGATGAATTCAGCAGCAAATGATTTTAGTCCATTTGTTATGTTCCGATCAATAGCAGAAATGAATAAGAATACCCACTCAGAAAATTCCCTTCCAGCAGTAGGCACATTCTGTATGGGCCCGGTATTTGCTAATTTTTCCGAATACAAAAATCATTATTCATTAAGCATTATTTGAATCCTCACTTTCTGTTATACTACTACGTACTAAGTTCATACATAATTCTTAATACACGGTTATCCAAAAGTAACTCAACGATTACTTTTTAAAAATTTTCTTCACAGATTTTTTAACTAACAGTTAAATCCAATAGACTGCACTTCCTTAGAAAAACAAAAACACTTCATGATAAATGTTGATTGGGGACCTAAGACGTATTGAAAACAGAAAAGGCATTTCTTCACAGAATATGATAAAAAAAAATAATAAAAAAAAAACCCTAGAGCATACCTTTTTAAATTTTTAATGATATTAATCCGTCTCTGCAAACCTGTAAACTCATAGAACCATAATCAGAAATCTCAGGGTTTATAGTAACAGAAAAACGAAGAAATATTAAGTTTTAAAATGTTCCTATAAGTAAAATGTTGATTGTACCTTCTGGGCGATAAATATGCAAAATTACAAATGAATTTGTTTTTTCCAGACATTCAATGCATTTTTTAAATGTTCGCACACCGTAAACTTCATTAATCTGATCTATATTGCTTGTATTATATTATTTTTATAAATATACGTAAGAAAAATTATGTCTTTCATTGTTTTATTACTATCACCATCCATTTTTTTAAATTGGTTTCTCTTTCATTGTTACAATGTTATTTCTAGTTATGCATTACGTTATTAAAATGAGAAAAACCTAGACTTATCAATATTGTACTTATTTTGTGTATATTACGTGCATCGTTGCTCATGAATAGTTTTGTTCTAAAATTTTGATACTACTTTCTTGAAATTTTTCATGATCCTGGATTATATATTTGAACTATGCCTGCATTATTTTCTACCGTCAATTTATGACATGTTTTCCTTCGTATTAATAATTTAGTTCAGTTTAGTTTCTTTCTTTTCAGCTGTACCGAAGACGAATTTTTAAATTTTAAAACAGATAACTTACTACATAGAGTAAGACTGAATAAATATATAAAAATTTGTCGCATAGGAATTATTTCAGTGAAAAAAGAAAAATTGTTATCAATTAAGGGAAAAAGAAAACCATTTAAATAGCTAACTAATTTCAAAATAAGGTCAAAATATTCACATTTTTAAATTTTAACACAAGTTAAGAATGAAAAGAAAAGAAAAAAAGAAAAAAAAAAAAAAAAAAAGAAGAAGAAAAAAAAATCATTACGAAAATCTATAGGTGAGATAACATGTTGAAATTGAAATACTTATTGGATTAATACATAATTTCCTTCGTTAGGCCCTTGTTGGCCAGATCTTTTCTTAATCAAATTAATAAGAAACTTAAATGCTATTATTATTATTATTATTATTATTTTCGATCTTGATCGGCGGTAAACCTGTTGATTGTATGAAGTTTTCATTGCTTTCGCCTGTGTAACCTGAATTTGAGCCGGTCCGGTTTTTTTTTTTTTTTTTTTTTTTTTTAGAACGTTCTTTTCACTGTCATCAGACTCAATACAGACAAATATCGAGGAATTTATTTGTTTTAATAAACGTTCTTATTTAATTTCCCTATTTATGCGATTTTTACAAGTTTGAAATAATAAGAATATGGTATTGCAATTATGGATTAGCGGAGAAATGTTAAATAAGTCTTGTTGACAATTGCTTATTTTTTTTAATTATAAATTCTCTCATATATTGCATAAGAATAATTAAGTTGCTAGTTTTGCATGATTAAGTGGAGACTGAATAACAGAATTTTTAATTTTCTGCTTAAGTACTGATTAAATGAATATGAAGGTCATGAAATAGGCACAATAAAATTAATTGAACTACAGACTAGAATAACTGCAAAAACGCCTTTTGAATGAATTAACAATTTCATCAGTCATGCTGTCGCTAGTTTCTAATGTAACCGATCTTATTAAAAATCAAAATTAAGAAAACTTGTGAGATGCCATAGGGACGGATTGGATAAGTTGGTTGAACAATGGTTCTTCATAACAGATTCTGTTCTTGATGGTAGAAAAAAATATTTATTTGAGAGTTTGGAGCTGTACTACTCCTGTATAACATAAATGTTAAACAATTTTATTTAGGAAACGCACCATAAAGACTTTCTATAATACATAAATAACTCATAAATGTTTTTGAATAATAAGTACTTTTTAACATGATTCACTTTCTTAAATATTCAAGGCATTACTTAAGTATTTTATAGTCATATACCTTTCCGCATTTGTTTCCATAATATTTTAAAAATTTCATTTAAAAGTATTTTATTATTTTTCAGACAAGTTTGACACTGATTTTGAACAACATTTTACGTGTTTTAAAACTTTTTTTAATTTCTTGAACCTTGTCCCCCTTCCCCGGTGAAAGAGTAATAAATAATTCCCAAATTTTACAAGAATTTATGATGTATGCAATTTACATTTGAGAGAATTTTTTATTTCTGGTGCACACTATTTACATTTTTTTTTAAATCAATTATAAAAGGGCCCAAAAACCTGCGATTCTTGCTAAAGAAAAAGTGATTCTCCATTACTGCAGTTTTAGCTGCCAATCCAAGACCTCTTCTTTTTAAAAGTTTCCAACGAGAGTTGTTTAGTTAATCGAGTAATCCCCCCCCCCTCAGACAAAAAGAAAATAGAAACCGAACTAAAAAGCGCGACATAGGTGCTTTCTTGCATCGGAAAAAGAAACTCTTTTGCCGGCTTCCGTTTTGGCGCATTTATTCCCCTTTTCGAAAGATGTTTTGGCGAGAAATGCGCGTTGAGTATCAACGTGAGGTAACAACGTGAGGCCAGCCCTTCATTCGAGAGAACGCGCGGCTATAAAAAGCGAGAATTTTTTTTCTCTTCGCACGTGGCTCGTGGGAGATAAGGTGAGGACATGAAAATAGCGATGAAGTCAACAGTTCGTTTCTTTTCTCCGTGAATAATCACTCATTAACTCTGTAATGGATATTTAGAGCCAAACTTTTTGTCCTCTCACGTGAGATGGATGGATGTGGGCCAATATCCGTTCAATAGAATGCTGATTATTCTCGCGATGGCGTCAGAGCGATCTTTGCATAATCTTCTAGTATCTTAAGGCTTAAATAACATATTTATATATGTTTTAAACTCTTACTATTAGCTCACACTCTCTCTATATCTTATTCAAATTTTCAATCGTTAATAAAATACTTTTTATTCATTCACTCAAGTTCAAATACATTTTTTTAAAGTTGCAGTGGATGACACTTGATGTTAATACAGTTTTTTCACATATTAAAGTCAATTCCTACTTATTTATTCCTATTTATCGGAACTAAAGATATACGGTTTTTTAATATATAATAAGCCTTACAAATAATGATCATTTATTGGGAATTCTCCCGGGCTAATTTTAATAAAAAGTAAATAATTTTTTTCTTTGTTGACCTAAGTAGAAATTGACTTAATAATTTTTTTTAATTGCTTGTTTTCATTCTCTTTAAACTAATTTTTTCCTTCCTGCTGAAATCCTTGCACGACAAGTTACATTTTCATGATACTATAATTTATAAACATAATTGTCCTTAACAGTAATTACTAATGATCGTTTGATTGAGAATATATTTTTTCCTGATATGTTTATTTCAACTTATTTTTAACAGCCAATCTTTTCCTGATTACTCTTCCCCCCCCCCCACAACCTCACAATTTCATTCGGAATTCTGACTGTAACCATAGACTAAGGAAACTGAATTTAACGATAATTATATTTTATTAAACGTATTTATCCGAATAAATTTTTATATACTTAAATCACACTATAATCGATTGATTAAATATGAAATGAGAAAGATCAATTTCCTTCCCATCTTTAATATATTTTTAGGTGGCTATATTTATGAAAGCGTCCTGGAAAAATAGCTGAAAGCTCAGACTGTTTTCCTAGAAGTATATAAATCTCTATCATTCCGATACCATACAATTAAAAAACATCAATTAGTTTATTATTAAAAACTGGTTGATGCCAGTATGAGATTTATATATCTATTTTCCCAGCACCATAGATTCGGTAGAATCGGTCTCGTTGCTGTTTGTATACTTGACTCTGTTCTTGAGTAATTGAAACTGTTTTGTAAATGACATATTTACAAATAAAATTTGAAATTGTGTATTTCATTAAAAACCTGTTCCTAATACTATGTATTTTAAATCTAGACTACAGAATTAATTCGAGTTAAAAATTTAATTTTAGTGTTATAAAATAAACTATGAAGTAGTTCACACGAAGAGTGTTTCCAATCAATTTGCCGTAGCACAGTATCTTTAAAGAGTAAAAGAGTTAAGTCTGTTAAATATCATCATCTGGGCATTATCATAAATGTGTATTAAATTTGTAAATTACTATCACTTCTAGAAAGTAATTTTTGCTTCAGGTTTCTAATTTAAAAATATCTAATAGCAGTGAACAAATAGCTAAACA